AACAGAGTCTCACTTTGTCACCCTCATAGAGTGCTGTGACATCACAGCTCACAGCAACCTCCAACTCTGGGCTTAGGTGATTCTTTTGTCTCAGCCTCCTGAGTAGCTAGGACTACAGGTGCCCACCACAACGCCCGGCTATTTTTTTTGTTGCAGTTTGGCCAGGGCTGGGTTCAAAACCGCCACCCTTGGTATATGGGGCCGGCACCCTACTGAGCCACAGGCGCTGCCCCTAGTGAGTCATCTCAAACTCACAGCAACCTCAAACTCTTGGGCTTTTAAGCGATTCTCTTGCCTCAGCCTCCCAAGTAGCTGGAACTGTACCATCCAGCTGTTTTTTAGGGATGGGATCTCACTTTTGCTCAGGCTGGTCTCAAACTCGTGAGCTCAAGCAATCCACCTGCCTGGGCCTCCCAGAGTGTTAGGATTTTACAGGAGTGAGCCACCTCGCCAGGCTTCTAATCTGAATTTTTTAAAAAAAGATGAATGAAGTAACAGTATGGGGTAAAAATTTTTTAAACCTTGTTGCTGCTTAAAAGTGATTATTTTTTAAAGTAGTTTATATACTACAAAATAATGCAGAAAAGATTAGCATAACCCAGAGCCAGGATGAGATGCTAACTCATGGGACAAGTTAAAACTCAGTCTGTTTATACTCCCCACGCCCCCTGCTCAGTCCTAGCCTGTACCCCCAAACTTTTCAAAGTATTTTCTTTCTTTCTTTTTTTTTTTGAGACAGAGTCTCAGTATGTCACCCATGCTAGAGTGCCGTGCATCACAGCTCACAGCAACCTCAAACTCTCGGGCTTAAGTGATTCTCTAGACTGAGCCTCCCAAGTAGCTGGGACTACAGGTGCCTGCCACAGTGCCCAGCTGTTTTTGTTGCAGTTGTTGTTGGTTAGCTGGCCTGGGCTGGGTTCGAACCCGCCGGCCTTGGTGTATGTGGCTGGTGCCGTAACCACTGTGCTATAGGCACTGAGCCAAAGTATTTTATTTCTGATCTGAGCATGAATATTGGAGAGAATTTATCCTTTTGTACATCATAATTTACTTCTCTTTTTATCACCTTTTACATGCCTAAGATTTCCCCTTTTCTCCAGATAGGTGAAAATGGTGACCCCAAAGCCTTCCTAATAGAGATTTCCTGGACAGAAACATATCCCCAAACACCTCCAATTATATCTATGAATGCCTTTTTTAACAACACCATGTGAGTAGTGTTTTGTTTTCATTGTTTTTTCATTTTACTCTCTATTTTACTTTTCTCTTAGCAACGTATTTGTTGTGCATTATAGATCATCAGCTGTAAAGCAGAGTATATTAGCCAAGTTACAGGAAGCGGTGGAAGTCAACCTTGGAACGGCGATGACCTACACGTTATTTGAATATGCCAAGGACAATAAAGAGCAGTTCATGGAGAATCACCATCCCGTTAATCTTGCAGTGAGTATGTGATTATTTTTTGCAAGATTCTTTTGTTATTTTGGTTTTGCTCTCCTAGTAATTTTTACTAGTTAATATTTTCTCAAAATTATAAAGATACTTTGTGTTAGATTTCAAATAAGAATTACATCCTGTTACTGTAGCACTCTGAGAGGCTGGGGCAGGTGGATTGCTTAAGCTCAGGAGTTCAAGACCAGCCTGAGCAGGAGCGAGACCGCGTCTCTTCTAAATAGAAAAAACTAGTCAGGCATGATGGCAGGTAACTATAGTCCCAGCTACTTGGAAGTCTGAGGCAGGAGGATCATTTGAGCCCAAGACACTGAGGTTGCTGTGAGCTCTGATGACACAGCACTGTATTCAGGGCAAGTGAGTGAGACACTCTGAAAAAAAAGTGTTAGTTATCATAAACCATCTTTACACAAACCCAAATGTGTTTTCTTTGTTTGTTTGTTCTTTGTTTTTTGGGGTTTTTTTGAGACAGAGCCTCAAGTTGTCCCCCTGGGTAGAATGCTGTGGTATCACACTCACAGCAACCTCCAACTCCTGGGCTCAAGCGAGTCTCCTGCCTCTGCCTCCCAAGTAGCTGGGACCGCAGGCACCCACTACAACACCCAGCTATTTTTTGGTTGCAGCCATCATTGTTGTTTGGCGGGCCAGGGCTGGATTCGAACCCACCACCTTAGATGTATGTGGCTGGCGCCTTAGCCACTTGAGCCACAGGCGCTGAGCCAATCCCAAATGTTTTAAAAATATTCTTCAAGGAACCAGGATGTTCTAAGTAAGTCCATGTGATTTTTCTAAAGACTTGTTTAAAATCTCCAAATCATAGCAAGTTAACTGAATTATAAAATGACCTTGGAACCTCAGATCTTCGATATAATGCTGTTAATCAAGTCTCCTTCCCAGGGTTTTGACTACAGTAGTTGCACTAATATATGTCATTCAACATGAACTTTTAGAGCAGTGGTTCTCACCCCACAGGAACTGTATTAAAGGGTTGCGGCATTAGGAAAGTTGAGAACCACTGTTTTAGAAGAATAAAACCAGTAATGTGTGGGGCGATGCCTGTGGCTCAGTGGGTAGGGTGTCAGCCCTATATACCCAAGGGTGGCGAGTTCAAACCTGGCCCCAGACAAACTGCAACAAAAAAATAGCCAGACATTTTGGTGGGCACCTGTATTTGGGCGGCTAAGGCAAAAGAATCACAGAAGCCCACGAGTTGGAGGTTGCCATGAGCTGTGTGATGCCACAGCACTCTACCAAGGGCAATAAAATGAGACTCCGTCTCTAAAAAAAAACCAGTAATGTGATAAGGACACCTGATTTAATAAATGAGTAATATATAGGATGCTTTTATTTCATTTCATAAGTCTAAAAATCATCGATGCATTTCAGGCTATACCTATGGTTAGTGTTATTATTTAATAAGTTTTAAGGCACTGGGCCAGGTGGTTCACATCTGTATCCTAGCACTCTAGGAGGCTGAGGCAGGTAGATTGCTTGAGCTCTCCGGTTCAAGACCAACCTAAGCAAAAGTGAGACCTCATCTCTACTAAAAATGGAAAAACTTAGCCAAGAGGATCACTTGAGCCCAAGTTGGAGGTTGCTGTGAGATACGATGCCACAGCACTCTACCCAGGGTGGCAGCTTAAGAATCTGTCTCAAAAAAAAAAAATTTTAAGGCGTGGGTCTAAGAATTATTTTTATTTTTAGACATCAACAAGCAATACAATCTCAGTTGAAACTCCTAATACAAACTCATCAAGTAAGAAAAAAGACAAAAAAGAACAACTTTCAAAAGCCCAGAAACGTAAGCTGGCAGATAAAACAGGTTTGTGAATTTTTTTTTCTTTTACAACCCAGATAAATGGATTGCTTTTTAGTGTGATATGAGTGCTTAATAATATATTTAGATTTAGAAGATTAACTTTCTATTCTTGTAATATTTGGATCAGAGGCCTCTTGGTCACAGATATATGTTGAAAATACTATTTCATCATCAGAGATAACCATTGAAAAGAAGGTAACTGCGTAGCAGGGTAACTATAAATGAGACTTGTAGTTGAGGTACATTAGTATACAAATAGTATATAAAAATATGAGTCCAATGTGTGTCCTCTGGCATGTTTGGGACTTTTCTATTTGTTAACCTCTGTGATGGGTATGTATTATTAAAAATTCTTTAAAATACAACTTCATTTGGAATGAAATCTGTTACTGAGCCCTTAGCACAGTAAATAATGTTTTTGTTTATAGTTAACTTATTTAACTTACAAGCACAATAAGATTTAAGAATAGAATTCCATGTGTCATGGGTGGCGCCTGTAGCTCAAGTGGCTAAGGTGCCAGCCACATACACCAGAGCTGGTGGGCTCGAATCCGGCCCAGGCCTGCCAAACAATGACAACCACAACCAAAAAAAAAACAAATAGCTGGGTGTTGTGGCGGGTGCCTATAGTCCCAGCTACTCGGGAGGCTGAGGCAAGAGAATTGCTTAAGCCCAGGAGTTGGAGGTT